GAGCCCCCCCCCCCCCCCCCGAGATTTGGAAGGCACTGAAGACCTGGCTGTTCCTCCAGGCATTGGGACCAAGGTGGAGATGAGCTCTGCCAGTATGAGTGTTTAATAGCTATCAGGCGCCAAGGGGTTACGTTTGGAGGGTCCGTTTGTTTTTAATCCTGCAAGTCACCGAGAGTTAACCACATGAGATGTGCAGTTGTATAGAGTAAATGATATAAATAAATAAGTAGTTTAGCATTTCTATTTCCTTTCATCTCCATAGTTACATTCACTAGCTCTTAGGATTTTATGGTATTTTCCCTCCAATAACATGGAGAGCAATGTACAAGTCTGGCAATGGGGAAGACACTCCAATGCCTGTCAGAAGTGATATATGTCAGTTTGTGGGGGTAAAGGATCTCTTATTAATCCACCATCTACTGTAAGTCAGGGAGGAACAGAACTCATGTCCTTTTTATACTATATATTCAAATATGCCCAACTCTCTCTCTCCACCCAACAGGAAACCCACAATACCTCATATCTTAGTTGATTTCAAATCCTAGCCTTTGTCTGAAATGTCCAGATTCCAGCTGCAGTAATTCACAGTGCAGCAAGAATTGTGGAAAGCTGCTTTAAAGAATTTTGACTCAAGAGTTTCAGGTTTTCTGTTGTTATCAGAAATAGGGATCTGTGAACCATGCAGCATTGGGGCACTGTTTTGAGACTTGGAAATCTTAAAGGAGTTACCATCTCTACTTGCAGAGAAGCTTAAGATTGTGCTGGATCTCAGATGAGACAATTTCTGCTTTCTAATCTGTTCTTTCAAGTCTTAGACAAACTTAGTGCTAAGAAACTCCAGGACTGACTCCTATACTCTTTCTTATCATCTAACCCCAATTGCGCATTCTTCACTACTAATTATGTTTTTTGTACTACAAATCATTGGCCTACCTCAGTGATGGTGAACCTATGACACACGTGTCAAAGGTGACATGCCATGACGTTTTGGGTGACACCCCAGCATTCACCAATACCTAACAACAACTATTCCTCCTGTTTGAGTTACCAAAGAAACTAAGTTTGTTTTACTCATATTTCATTTTTGTAATTATTTGATGATTCTTTACATAATACATAGCATCGCACATGATTGGACTGTATTTTTTTTAAAATAAATTAATATGTAAAGAATTGTTTCTCTTTTGTTCGGGGGGAGGGGGTGTGACAAGCCAGCAAATCGGCATTTTCCAAATTTTTGACATGCCAAGCCCAGAAGGTTCACCATCACTGGCCTATCTATTTCTATTTCAATTTCAGGGAAGAATCTACTATATCCCAAAGAATTTCATGTTGTGTAGGAAAGTACACATTAACATTATATAAATAATGGGACTGGCTCCCCTTGAATTCCAACAGGTATATTCTCCTTCCTGGTCATCTTCCACTACACCATTCAATGAAAATAAATCCTACTGTGCCTTAATCTGTGCCAAATGTCATCCACCATAACTAATCCTTTTATTTTTACAGCAGTACAGCTGGTTCCATAATGGATCTTCTCTTCTCCTAAGTGGGTGGTTCTTGTTATTCCATAAATCATTTACTTGAGTTAGCAGTCCCAGTGGGAAAACAAACATTAATTACTGTATAACTATATCCCTCCATGTCTATTTCTGTGGTCAAGGCTAAAGGATTGCAAGATGATGCGATAGTATGTATAGTTTGGAGCTGATTGGAAATAAAAATGATTAATCCACTCCTTACTCGATCTCTAATCTCACCAAGCTCCATTTAACGATCATGTTTTGAAACTACCACTCTAATTCTTTTTTTACCCAACTCATCTGCAAGCAATATGATGTCACAGTTACAAATCAAAAGGTCCTCTGACCTGAAACGCCAGCCAGCAGTGTTCCAAAAGACCAGTTGCATCTCATCCTGACTCTTCCAGACCTAATCAATTTTGTAGGGAGGAAGCACCTTGGGGCAATGATTCCGGTTGAGTTTCTTGTATCACAGAAGATACCTGGTTTACTAATGTATCCTCCATGATCAGCTTCAGCAAATTTCCCACCTCCCTTTCATGTTTAAATCAGATAAGAACATTTGTTGTAACAGACTTTCTTCATCTTTAAAAATTTGCTGCCTTCTTTGTTCTCTACTTAAGAGCACTGCAGTGACTGAATTGCAGCATCATATTAATTTTCCCTATTAGGTTTTCAGCTATACTTGCTCTAAAGGCTACACCAGAAATGTTCATTGCAAAGGAGTAGTCTTGTTTTCCACTTGCTATAAGGTCATATCCTCTGCTAAAATTATATTTAGGTCAGTGCATATTGGTAGATTTTTTCCTTTCATGACCTGGCAGAGCCAGCTATAAACCAACAGGGTCAGTTCATAGTTTGCATGAGATCTTTTCAGGAGAAGACATATTTAATGTAATAGTTCTTACAGAAATTGCTAGCTGATCCCGTAAGAACTTTATTATCTGTATAAGCTTTATTCTCCAGACATGCTAATGTTTGCATTTCAAATGTTTTCATTTGGGTATCCTGGGTAGATAGCAATGCATTTTCATAATTCTTAGTTTAAATCAGTTTAAATTCATTGTAATGAAATGGCACTTCATCAGTGGATTTTAGGATATTTATATTGGCCATTGTCACAAACATTTTAGTGAGTTCTGCTGCTATAGAAACTGCTGTTAATAAGGATTTTAAGTTCCCTAGCTTATAAATCATACCTGTTTATCCTTTTATGGAACTGTTTTATAATATATTATTACATTTTTCATTTTCCAGTTCATCACTTGCAACCTTTCCATGCTTATCAGAGATTTGCATTCTTGGATGTGATTCTACACTGTTTTGGTCTTCTGGGGGCATTCACATACTCTGGTTGTCTGCTGAGGCTTTTTTGTTACCTTTTCTGCAAGCAGCTACATGCTTTTCTTTAGAGCAGGGACCTGAAACACT